AGCCTCAGGTTTACATCACAGCCATGGGAGTCCAAGGCAGCCTTCACTGAAACAGGTTGTTATCTCCAACAAAAAGCCTGATGAGGGATACAAATTAAAAAGAGGTTTTGGTAGAAAAGTTCAGGTCTGCTAGAACGGAATCACTCTGGATTCTCACAGTGTTAAGAACTGGTTCTTCCTTCATTATGCCATTTGATTTGTTCATATAAGTAAATTAACCTAATCATTCTATATAACATTATTGATATGTTCCCTCATAATGCTTAGAGTTAATGCTTGTTTACTCTCTCACTGGGACAAATTAGACCACCTACTCAGACACTGTATTTATTACTGAAGGAACACACATGGAGTGCTAAAAGCCTGTGGTGGTACAACTGCAATATTTAGTTGCCTTTCCAGGCAATAATCTTGATAGCTAAACAGTTTAGTTCCCCCTCATAAAACCAGAGGGAATATAACAGCCATAAAGAGAATCCTAAATGGTTAGCTGAGGAAAAAAGAATAAAGGAGAACCTATAATGGAATATTCCCAAAGCCTAACAGTAGCACTGATCAACACCACCATGACCTAACAGTGGCCACCGTGTCTTTCAAACAGGCTTTATGTGCTGCTTTTTAGCAAAGGTGTTTGCTAGTTTTGTTAGACAAAAACTAAAAATAAAGTCCACGAAAGAGCTTTTCATTCAGCTGAAGACACTCACAACGTGTGGCTTGAGCCCACACACGTGCCTTGGAGAAAGCCAAGTCAGATCCTCTGTTTTCATACATTTATTCAGAAATGTTTCCAGTACCCTAAAAGGATTATTTTTTTTCTATTCAGTTAGTGGTTTAAAAATGGTTATTATTCTATTTTTCCACATATTTTAACCTCTGTTATTCAGTTTCACCACACTGAAGTTGCTCAAATCCCTGATATCCCACTGGGCTGATCTGCACCCAAAATCTGATGAGAGTCCCCTCCATCCTCAGTTTCATGTATTTATACACAGGTTTCTTCATAACAGACACAGCAGCCTTAGAGACAATGAATACAAATAAGGAGGTAATAAACACCCATGTAAAGCTTCATTTGATTAAGTTCTTGTGCTCTGACAAGCAAGCATGGAACGTATCAAAAGCTTTTTTAGGCCAGTGTTTCAACTGCTGCATTATCAGAGATTTATCCAACATCAAACAAGTTGTGCAAATCAACACACCTGAAAATTCAGGTCTACCCCAGCCTTTAGTAACATATGACAACAAAAAGATCAAGACACAAAACCCTGCCTGTGGAAAAAAAGATAAAAAATGGAAATGCTCGGGAAAAGGGGAAAACCCCACCACCACACAAAAGACACTAATCTCATGAATACTGCTTGCTTTGATTCCACGAGATAGATAAGATTTTACTAAAACTGCTCAGCATGAAGAACAACAACTCCATACGAATCCATCTGAGTATTTCTGAATGGACAGGACTTCAGATCCTGCCTGACGACAGTTGCTCGATTATGTGTTACTTTTATTACACACAAGACTTGGCAGCAGCAGAGGACGAACGTATGTCTGGGACAGTCCTCAAAAGATTTACTAACACTTCAAGATACACAGGCCAAGTTACAATATGGAGAGATCCTTAAAATAGTTCATTTTGCATGTAATTATTCACTGATAACAGAGGGAGCAGAGTGAAGTGTAAGATTCGGTAATGAATTAAAGCCAATTGCTTCTTCCGTACAGTAACAAACTGTACAACCAATGTCTCTGCTGATGTCCTGCTGCCAAAGGGACGGTTCAACAACAACTGTGTTACCAGGAAAGTCTTACATCACTAAGTAATTTGTAGCTCTGCACTGGAAGTATCATATGAAAACAAGCATACAGCTTCCCAAACAACCTCAGCATCCATCCCTTCCTCGAGCAGCAGGAAAAATGAACGCCTTTTTTTTTCGACTGTGCAACCATTTAATATTCACCACCCCAGTGGTAACCAAGTTCATCACAAAAGCCAACTTTGGTCCTGTGTTTGCCTGCAAGCACCAAACTGTAATTAGATGCCCAAATGATGAATGATAGGTAGATACTCATACCAGTTCTTGAGGCTTGGCCAGTTCTTGACACAGTATGAAAGGAGTTCCCAGTACTTCATATCAAATGCATTGAAAACAAGCAATGAGAAATAAAGGCACATTAAGTCAAGAGCATAACTCAGTGTCAAAATCTGTTCTCATTTAAGAAGCTGTTAGACAAAACAACATCCACATTTATTCCGAAATCCTACATTACGATTACCATACCAGCACTTTGAAACATGAAGCATCATATCACAGCCAAACCACGAAAGATAACGACACAGACACACACTCCCACTCCTACAGAGCCTTCTGCTTCCACCAGCTTCGCTGGGCTCGCTTAAAAATTAGCAACGGCAAAACAAGGAAAACAGAAATAATAAAACTTCAAAATAAGTGAAATAAATCTCAATATGCAATAGCCGTCTTTCCACCTTCCCAACAGGCAGCTTAGTCAAGGCTCCTTTCAGAGCATCTCTCTGGAAACACTGACACCTCTGCAGGGAGGCTGCCGGTACCCCCGCACAGGAAGGGTTTGCGAGCGACACAACTCCAGTGCATGGAAAGGGAGAGGAAACAGCCCAAGCACTACAGCACTCACATATTAATGCAACTACAGGAGAGCCGCAAGCCGGCCGCCAGAGCCCAATTCTGCATTTAAGAGAGAAGGCAATGAGAGAAGAGGAAACAGAAGGGGGGAAAAAAAAGTTTCCCCGTCTCTCCTTCAAGCAAATGTAAATTTGTTCATTAGCTCCTCAGCCTTTCAGGAACAGTTACATAAAAACACGTAGAATGGGTAATGCTCAGAATAGGATTCCTTCCACTTGGAGAGGCTTTGCCGGATAAACCCCGAGACCGAGGGAGGAGGCCAGCGCTGCTCCCGGAGCACAGAGACACGGGCTGGCCCCGCGGCTGGGGCTGCATCTCCGGCCGCTCCCAGCCCTGCTCGCCCCGAGCGGCCGCGGTGCTCCGGCATCCCCGCTGCACAGAGCCGGCAGGGCGGGAGCCTCACCGGGCTCGTGTGCCACGAAATGGTGGATCTGGCTGTCAGGCACAGCTCACGGCACGGAGCGATCGCGAGCCTCTGCAGGGCGAAGCCGGGCAGGGAGAGCGGGAGGCGGGCGGGGAGCGGGACCGGCACCGCAGGGCCCTGGAGGGCTTGTCAAGCCCGGCCGCCTCCCCCGCCGGGCCGGGCGGCCCCAGCCCGGCCCCCCCTCCGCCAGAGCCGTACTTACGTGAAAACAAAAAATAAAGTAGTCGAACCCACTAATAAGGCAGCTGCAGTGGAGACCGGGATGTATTTAGTAGGTTTAAACCTCTTTCCAGTGCTGCTGGGCATCCTGTAGTTTACACATCACTAGGTAAATCCGACCCGAGAGGAGGGCGCCGGGAGGATGCGGGTCCCTCCGGCGCGGGGAGAGCGGGACCCGGGCGGCAGGGAGGGACGGGAGAGGGACGGGAGCAGCTGACCTCCAGCACAGGAAATCCCACCCACACCGCCCAGCCCACTCGGCTGATGTCAACCAGCCCCTTAAGGTAGCGCTGCGGGGAGATGGGGAGCGGGGCTGCGGGAGCCGCCACCGCCCTCCTCCCGCCGCGGGGCAGCCCCTGCGGACAGCGCGGGCCGGCTCTGTCCTTTTAGGAGAAAAGGAAAAGAGGCAGCATATCGAGCTCCCCGTGCGGGACGCGGCGGGCCTTGCAGCAGCTCCCCGCACAGCGGCACAGGCGGTGCGGGCACGGCGCGGCTGCGGCACCGCGGGGACGGCGGGGACCGGGGCCGGGGGGTCCCTGCGGGCCGGGGCGAGCTGGGCACGAATCAGCTCAGGGAACAAACCCTGCTTTTTATTCTGCTGAAGCACAGTGACAGTATCAAGGGGACTGCTGCGCTCCGCCAAATCTAACCGATTCCAAAATTGGGAACTGAGCGCGAGCATAACCGAAATGGCACTACGCTCGGTTCTTTTAAAATCTGCCCATCAGCACCAAGAAGCAGACATGAGAGGTAATTTAAGGTAACATCAGAAAGTTCACCGAAGCAGCGTTCGAGAGCAGGGAGTGAATGGCTCCTCTGTTCGCACTCGGGGGCACCACCCAGCAGCCTCGGGCGGAGGGAACCCTCACATGGGCAGAGTGGTTCAAGGCCACCGGGAACTTTAGAAATCAAGACCAGGAGCTGCAGCTTGCTCCCTCCCTCAGCTAATCCCCCTTTGCCAGCTGCCAGCACGCAGATAAAGTAACCCCTTCATGAGACAACAAAAGCCACATTTGCAGTGCCCGCCCTAGAAGGTATACACTGCATTCTCTAATGAAAGGACATGACCAGTTCTCATTTTAAGAGACTCGATTAGTTCCACAGTTCTAGCGGTCTTAGGAACAGAACAAGTAAAACCCAACCAAAAAGCCATAAGGGTCCTCAGCTCTGCAGTTTGGGGGCAAAAAAAAAAAAAAGGAAGAAAGAAATTGTGAGCATCAGCTTTAACAAAGCCAGGCAGCTCCAGCTAGGACATATGGCTGTGTGAAATCTCAGCTTTCGCTAACAACTGCCCCACTTCAGAAAAAAAAAGAAAAACAAAACAAGAACAAAACCACCAGAGGGAAAATATATATATATATTCTCTAGCCCTCTAGAATTTTAAAATGTCAACTTAAAATTAACACCAGACTTGGGTTTATGAGGATAGGGAGGGAAAGCATCTACCCAGGTTGTTTTTGAATGCTTGGGGGACATTGAATGTTTCCTATGCTTCACTACTCCTTGTCATGCCAGCTTATTGAAATTAATTATTCTTAAAATCCGTGTAACTAATCAAAAGGTCAACAATTTTACACAGAGCCAGGCTCTGCATAATAATAATCTGAAAGCCTTGAGGCACAGCTAGCAACGTGAGCATATTAAGCTGGATCAAAAGCATCCTTGGGAAGCAAGTCTCAATCTCTGTCACTTACCAGGCTTGATGGGATTGCTGAGTGACCTCCAAGGAGGGAACTGGGTTCCTCTGGAGCAAAACTAGGCTGGAAGATCCATTTCAGGAGCACTCAGGCCAGGAGTTACTTTAGCACCACTTCCATGATAACAAGCAGAGACTTTAGCACTTAAATCAGTTCAATCCCCTTCCTCCTTTCCACTCAAGTAACAGTCTTGGTGAAGAATTTTAGTTGCAAACAGAAATCTGATTAATTTTCCACTGATATTTTAATCTGGCAAATATTATCCTAAGCAGCATTATAGACCAGTTTTGATGTTTGGTCAGCATCCTGTAATGGACAGTGCAAGAGTTACTCAAATGCATTTCTTAGGGCTTCAAAAACGTCTCTCCCAAGTGAAAAGTCGTATCTGCATTTTTAGCATGGACATGCCCATTTTCTTTTTAGGTGAGCCACATAAGCATCCCGTCAAGTTTCCAGCAGGAGCTGGGAAGCAATAAGCACAAGCTTATAGCAACAAGCACAAGACATATTTGAAGTTTGATGATTTTAGATTTCATTATCTTTAAGGTCAAAGCCCTTCTGGGACAGTAACTGCAATTCTGTAATTCGGTGTCCAGCAGTTCACCTCATTTCCTTCCCACTTACCACTCCAGCTCTGGAGCACAGTCTGTTTTCAAGGCAGCATAAAGCCCTGCTGAGAACACTCAATCTCAGTATTACAAGCCAAGTGTATTTAAGGCCATGAGATGACTTTACCAGTCAAGCTGTGGGGATGTCTGAGGAGGACTTGCCTAAAGCAGGACAGACAGGTCTCAGAGTTCTCTCCTGGCACACCTTTACTTCAAGGACTGCAGTTTCTGGATTCACACGACCTTACCAGCGTGCCAGAAGGTTTTGGCAGCAGGGAGGTAAACAGCAACGGCAGCACGAGCTGGGGAAAGATTTAATGACTACAAGAACAAATACAGCTACAAAGAGCAATCTAAAAATAATCTGGCAGAGCATGGCTAGTAATTGCACGTCTTCTTGCAAGATTCTGCTCTGAGGTTTTACCCCAAATGAGAAGGGGCCAACCACAGAGGCTGTGCTGGAGCCACATGGCAGGGAACGGCTCTGAGAGCTGGGACCATGAAAGGAACTCCCAGCACAGCAAGAAAGCTTCACTGCCATGCAATTTTCATATCAGATCACAGGACTAGTACTAGCTGGAAATCTTAGCTACGTGGTTGAGAAAATTCTTTTGTTTTGCACACTTGAAAGTACTGAAAATCCCTGGAATATTTTATTGGTCACTATGCAATTTAGCTCCTAGCTCTTATTTACTGTTGTCATTTAACAGTGACCACAATAAATAATTCTGCTTTTCTTACTGGGTTTGCTTACTACAATAAATGCATTTGCCAGCCCATGTAGTATTGGTGACCTGCAAACTGTTCAGGGTCACTGGGAGAACCCTCAAGGATCAGCAATTAGTTGGTTAGGAAAAGCTACTTTTCCTTCAAATTTGCAGTGCTCAGAACATTTGGATCATCTTGTGCTGCCCAGTCCTGCCCAAGCAGGGCCAGACAGTTCTGGGTACAAGCCAGACCTGCTAAGTTACCCACTTTAATATGACAATCTTCATTTAGTTGTTCATTTCTTACCAGATAAATCAAGAAATTATTGCCTAATAATGCCTTTTCAGGGGCCTAAACAGATATCCCACAAAGTTTCCTAGAGTTTTTCCATTAGGTATTTTCCATGGAATAGCATTTGCACACAATTTCCCGACTGCTGTGCCTGAACAGTGAATTAGAGCAATTTCTGTGTGGCACAAGACTTTCAAACAGGTTCAGACATTAATCACACTGAAGTTATTGCCATTTCAGAAACAAGTGTAAGGCAGCTGATGTATTTGTGCCCACAAATTCCAGAGGGAGCTTTTGCACTCCAAGCCTACCTTTCTGTCAAAGGATAATTGCGGTTTTGGAGCCGAGTTACTGCCTGACAAGACAGGCCAGGTTCTGTCCTCTCAACAGCCCTGTCACCAGTGAAGATGGGGGGACACCATGAATACCTGGTGACCTGGGCAGGGGCACAAGACAACAGCACATCAGCTGGAACTCAAGGGTGCTCAGCACAGAGCAAGCTACAAAAACATTTCAGGGACTCCTCCTGGGGGTCTGCTTTCCATCTGAGAAAGCTTATCATTAGAATGACTTGCAGAAAAGTCTTGTTTCTCTGAGATCAATTTTAAAAGTACTTACTGCTTTTTAATGTGTAGAACAGCACACCTGTGGCTCCTAAAGTGACCAGAACTTTTTACTTTAGGGGACTACAACATCCTTCAGCCAAATGTTATCCAGAGAAATCATTTCACTCACTGGTGTCTCACAGCTTTGCTCTTTGAGACTGCAGACCTGCAAGGGTGGCTCCAATCCATGAACTGTAAACATGGATCAATCAATCTCAACAGGAACGGAAATGTCCTCCAATCATTTAAGCATGCATAAAGAGAGAGGGGAAGAAGAGGGTAATAACGTTAAGCAGAAATCATCAATATCTAATATTAAGACAAATTAGGTAATTCAGGTGTTGCCTCTCCTCTCCTGTCCAGTGTTTGACAGGGAAATCCAACTCACCCATTTTGCTGCCTTCATCACTTTGCCCCTGCAGACTAAAGATGAATTCCCAGGAAGAGTTCTTAAAATAACAAACAAATCCTTTAAATGAAAATTTAAGTTTATTTTGAATTTTTAAATGTCATTTCTATCAATTTAGACACAGTTTGACATTATCAGATCAGAGAATTTACAGTGACTCATGGATAAAGATTTGGCTTTTACATTCAAATGTTAAATACTTCAGAATAGCTTTGTCTTGTTATTTCCAAACCAGAAACACTAAGGAGCATTTTATTTCACCTTTCAACCACCTTTGTTAATTAACAGACTTTTGGTATCTGCTGTACTTGAAGGGGAATGTGCGAAACACCAAAGGAATTACTCTGTTTGAATGAAGCGAGTACCTTAATTACAGATCCAGATTTAAGACTCATTCATGGTAGCATTAAAAGACAGTGCTAAAACATGATTTTTTAAAAAATATACTTTCCTCAAGTAGACTGCAGAACCTGACCAAGTTAAAAGCCTCTTTATGAAGATAAAAAGGTCTTGCTATCCAATGTTAACATCATTCAGTCTTACAGTTTAGCAAGTTTTGTCTGGTTTTCGTAATTATTTTGGAAACTATTATAAAATTTCATCACTACCCTAACACAATCCTTGTATTAGTGTTCAACAACGAAACTCATTTCATCTATCAGACTTAATTGTGTTGATTTTATTGCTTACTATAGTTTATCTTCTTACTCTAGCACTAACTTGAAATCGGTCAAGTCTCCTCACTGCAAATGTTGGTTGTTGATCCAATCTGCCCATTCTGGCAAGGAGAGCGTCCCTCAAGCTTGTACAACATAATTAATTAACTGTTCCAGAGTGACTGCCACTCTCCAAGAGGGACAGCCTCCCTACCAAGCATCTGAGGAGTTCAGAACTCCTCTAGTTCGTAAAAACGACGTGAGCTCCGAAGCCCTGGGAAGAAAAGCTGTTCAGTTTTAGCCTAAACTGCTAGGACCTGCTGCCACGGGGAATCTCACAGGGAGGTACTCACAGTCTGCTTCCTCTGCACACACCTCGGCACAACAGGCTGCTGCTGCCTTCAGCCAGCGAGGAGCACTCCGTGGAAGATGAGGGACAACAGCAGCAGCTTTCTGCTGGAATCAAGCCTTTGCAGTATTAGCACACTGGGGGCGGGGGGGAAGCACAGGTTTTGTTTGGTAAGAGGCAAATACTTGTGGAATCTCACAAAATGCATTTTCTCCCCCACCCCTGCTTTCAGGGTGAGCTGGATCAGCAGCAGGAGTGCCAGGAACGCTGTCCCTGCCCCACTGCAGGGCCTGCTGCGTGCCAGGCACAGGCACAGCCCAGCACACACAGCAGCGAGAGGGAGAGCTCTGCTGGAGCCACAAACACCAATGCAATCCTGACCTGCCCTGCTGGGAAAAGTCTGTTAACCTACTCCATCCACAGGAATGATGATATGTAGCTTCACACCCAGTGAAACAAGTGTATTCACAAGCCTTCACGGTTCTGCCCCTGATGCTGATGCCACATTTGTTTTATTCACTCTTTTGGATGACTATAAATAAGTGTTTCCACTATGGAAAAGAAAGTTAGCACAGTACATTTTCATGACCGGGGAATGGATTTTTCTGAAGACACCTTCCAAAGGGCAAAAGCTTAGAAAAAACAAGCTGAATGTTGAATTGTGTTCCTTATAAAGTCCCTTGTAAAAAAAATTTAAAAAAACCACCAACAACAAAAGAAAACAAAATCAAGGAAAAAAAAAAAGTAAAGGAAAAACTGCAAGGCCCAGGATGATTTTATTGCTTTTCTTCGTTTTTTTCCTTGGTCTCCTTCTTCTCAGATTCTCTGCTTTCTTCCTTTACAGAAAGCTCTTCTAGTTTTTCAGCCACTTTATCAGCACTATCATTTTTGTCTGTGCCTGCTAAAAGATTGATTAGGAAAAGTGTTACACAGAGGCAGCAATGGACTTTCCTGTGACAGGGGAAAGAGTAGAGAAGTGGAGGGGGAGGGGAGAGACAGCTGGTATTCAGAATATGAACAAAAATAAAGACATTCTCCACTGGCCACTGCAGTGACTCATTCCTTTTCCTCTGGTAATTATTATCTCAGATGTCAGACTTCAAGAAATACCACTTGCATATGTTAATCATGACATGAAGGCCTAATTACAGGGACTGAGAAAGGTGTAACTGCTGGCCAGCTGTGCTGCCACCAGCAACAAGCTCCACAACTGTCCAGACATGTCCCCAGCTTCTTGTCATCTTCACTGAACAACCAGAAGTCAAGTTCCCCAGTCTGACTCTGAGGAACAGGAATTCTTGAGACTGGCAAAGCCAGTACCTTGAATAATGCTGATGCAGACCACAAGGAGTCTGCACTTTAAAAAGGTGGAAGTGCTTGATATGGAGACACATCTTGTCACACAGGCAATTCTACAAGGTGGTGCAACTATTAATTATTAAGAGACCTGTGAATAAATGCTACGACTTCATACACATTATCAACTATACAAAACATTAGGTACTCCACTTGCACGATTATACTTTTTGTGGAATTGGGGAAAGGGAACTGGGAGGAAGAAACAGGACTGTGGTTGCAGCGTTCACAGTTCATTTGTGTACTGTGAGCCATCAGCACTTCCCTAGAATGCTTTCAAGAGAAGCAGTGTCCCAACAGCAACTGTAACAGCCTCCTACAGCAAAGAAGGCCATGGTCACTCGAGTGGGCTGTTACTCTTGCAGACAGAAAAGCACCTGAACTGAAGGCTGCAGTTCAGCACAGAGTGAGTCTGCTGGAACGTGACACTCCAGGGTACCGTAACCACTCACACAGCCAGAAAACTGAGACCACCTTACCTTTCTTTGCTTTCTTGCCTACTTCGTTCCTGCATTCTTCAAATTTTGCCTTGAATTTCTGTGCATCTGTTTCAATAAGGATAAGATATTTTCCATTAGTTTTACTGCCTCACAGGATTGAATACTCCTGATCCTGAGCAAAGATACCCAACGGGAAGCTGCATAAACAACATTTGCAGGGACCTATCAGTAATCCAGTAAATCACACAGGATGCAAAATTCTTCAATCACATCTCTGTGCAAAAGCAGTTTAATTTCTTCAGCAAGTCTACTGAAGCAGTTTATTTTGCAAAATAATCGAAATGTAATGCCAGCAGGAGCTGTTTTGTAGTTATTGCAACTCCCAGCTGTCTCTAGCCTGCAGGAATAGGAATATGATGTCAGAGACTGCTCACATCTGTATGCAAACGACTGAAGATTAGCTTTGAACTGCTATCTTTGTCAGCTATGTTATCCCCTAGGAGTCTTCCCCAACCCTACCATGACTTGGGTTCTCAGCATCACCCAGGGCAGACAGTGCCTGTTCCATTAGTACCAGCACTCACTCTCTGGCCCCAGGGCTGCACTCGGGCTGTTCCTGAGAGAGGAGCTGAGAATGCACAACTGCCACGACGTTTTAGTCTGAGCCACCACCTGATTTAGCTGCACTGCTGTTTCTGCACAGGTAATACCAGCACAAGAGTCAAAAGAGGAGTGGGCAGGGTGCTTCCTAACCCCAGAGCAACAAAGGAGGTAATTGATGTGCCAGGCTGGCCTGGCTGGCCACACGAGGTCACTGTTGCCCCACAGGACTCTGAAGGCACTATGAAACAGGCCCAGGGAGCGCTCCTGGGATTCCTTCTCAAGCATCTCCAACAGGGGAGACTCCTGAAGGACATTCTTCCGTCTGTTCCCCTGTCATCTGCTTAGTCAGCACTGCAAGGGGCAAACAGGAAGAGAGGAGGACACTCCAATACACAACACCCAATAACTGAACAGCCTCCACCAGAAAGAGGGAAAGACTTCTCCAAGATGAGCAAACAGTCCCCAAACCCCTTTAATTTCCTTTTTGATCATGAAGCAAGTGGATCAGAAGGATTTGTTTGGCTAAACAATGATGTTGGATAACGATACACTAAGTTCTTCCCAGATGGAAGCAAATCCATCTAGTTTTAAAATACACTTTATGGCCCATCTAGCACATAGGGAGAAAACAAGGCTAAGCACATTAAACTTGTGTGGCAAATTGTAAAGCAGGAAATGCAACACTTTTTCATTTCACTTCTTTAAAAAAAAACTACAGCAAAACAACATAAACCCTCCCACACCCAGACACTACTTTGATTTAATCCCAGCTGATCCATAATTAGAGTTACTTTGCTGTTGTGGTGCTCAGCGTAGTCACTCCAGAAAAACCCACAAACTAGTATGATGGCTTTCACTGGCACTTTTCTCTGAGACCCACGTAATCAAAACAGAGAAGATACTACATACTTCATCTAAAAAAACCCCCAACAACTTAGATGTTCTGCTAATGCAGATGGACCAGAAATATCAGATCAGGACTTCCCTGCTTCTAATGCAAATATCTAATCTTAACTACAATTCAGCACCTGAGATAAATGAACACAAGCTGCATGTGAGTCTCTAAACTGCTTTCAGTTTTATTCTAATTGGCATTGCACTTGCATGAAATGGCTTAAGTTAAAAAAAAGTGCCTAGGGCAGAGACTGAACAAATATTCCTAAAGGCCTAATTACTCCACTGTTTGTCAACACACATGGTTTAGTGATTGCCAGACTCCTCTCAGATAAAGAAGTAATTAGCTAACACTGCCATGCAGGGTGAGATACCGATTATCTACAGCAGAGATTTATTTACAGCAGTGCTCAGACAGGCAGTGTCACACAGCAGTTTACAACCAGGGGAAGTTCGGTGCCGGTCCACTCACTCTCTGCGTTTAAAAATCGGATTGCCAGAAGTTCAGGCTTGGGGCACTCGTCTGCAAAGTCAGCGTGTGTGTTCCAGACCCAGGCCCTGTCGCTCCCAGCGTTGGGCTTCAGCTCCATTAAGGGTGTGACTGAAAAGGAAGCATTGCAAGATGTACAGAGCACAAACAGTAAATGTTTTCCACACCAGCCTCCGTAAATCTCACTGGCAACAGGCTGCAATGGTTACGTAGAGCACTTTACACAGAGTTACTCTGGATAAAGATAAAACAGTGGTGCCCACATATACTCTTCCTCACATCATCAAATAACACAGTGCACCATCCCCGTGTAAGAGGATGCTGGATTCCCTCCTGGCAAAAATCTGAGGGTTTGATTCAGTTTTTGTTTAAAACAGATGACTGTGATACTAAGATGCAGTCACTAGGCACAGCTCTGAAGGCAAAGGATTTAGGAGGAAAAGGTATCCACACAGACAAACAGCATTCATTCTTCCTTTACACACTGAAAATACTACCAAGAATTAATTAAAAAAGAAGCATTATTCCTTCAATTAGTCATCCAATTAACTTCTCTCACATCAATTTAGAGCTGTAGTACAAGGCATTACAGAGTTCTGCAGCACTGCAAGGTGCACACAGTGTATTTTCCATCCCTTTCCCTCCAAGATGCTGCAATTGCTTCCCCCGACTGACTGGAAAAGTTCTCACACTGCTCTGAGACCCTGTGCACTACAGACATGCAAAGTTTAGGAGGGCTTTTTTTATCCTTCATCCCTTGGGTCCTGTTTAGTTCAGGAGAAATCTGAGGAGTCTACTCTTTCCTTGCATTTTTAAAATCCAGAGATCAATTTACATCTCGTTCCATTCAGTGTTTTGCAAAAACGAAGAGAGTCCTTTTGTCTGCCTGTGAGTCAGCATAACTTCACTAAACAAATCTATACTGAGAGCAGCTTCACCAGGAAAAAAAAACCCCAAACAAATTTTGACATGAATGCTATAAATTTATCAGTTCTGTTTTGTATATGCACAACATTTCTTTCCTTAAACAAAAGGTTTTCTCTTGCTGGTTGGTGACTGCACTGCCATTTCATTTACTAAACAGGAACACCTGTGTCCTCTGAACAGTCTGACTTTCTGAGGGATCTACCCCAAGAAAACAAGAATTACTGCTTCTGACTCGAGGTTTGTACTAAGCTACTTCTTATTTTAAGTTATCTAAATGTAGTTTAACTCCACAGACCACTATATACTCCTCCTACAAAAATCTGAATACTTCCAAAGCAAGCAACAAAGTATCATCAAATTAATCTACTTGTTGCAAGTTATGCTGACTTTCAAGTATGTCCTCCTGTTCTTTTTATTCAAAGAGGATTCTTTTTTGAGTGAGTCAGCCCAATATACCACATTCATTTCAGTTTCTTTCCCAAGCAGAGAAAGGCAGACAGAGATTAGTTTGGCACCTCAGCATCTGTTTTCTGAGGGTTAAGGGATTGGTTCTAGCAATTTAAAGATTTAGCTCTAAGTAGTAAATTACTACATGGTGGGTTTTCTCACCCTTTTACAAAACCAAGCCAGTATACATTAAATTCTTATCCCAAACAGTATTAAGGCCTACATTTTCTTTACTCTAACAATCATTAAACTACACACAATTGAAAATTACATAATGCCTGCCTATCCCAGTTAAATTTAAAGTGACTTCAGTTAGTCTTAGAGCAATTTCAGAGTCTGAAGGAAAAAAATTCCAGCTTCCACTAACAAAAATAAGCCCTGATGGGTTTTGATGCTTTGTGGCCTTGTGTGAAGAGCAAGAGCCAACTCTGTTTACAGTCTGCCATAAATCTGATGTCTGTTTAGGAGATGCACAGCAACTCTCCAGCTGCTACTAAACCGCCCTGAGTTCTTAATCCACCCTGCACAATTGTGCAGAGCTTTTTTCTAAAACAGAACTGGGGAGTGCTGTGATGCACAACGTACTGTAATGGTTTGCACAGATTTTGAGAGTTTTATCCCTCCGCATCAGGAGGCGAATTGTTCCCTTCTCCTTGTGCTTCAGGAGTTTCACATCACCCGTCCCTCGCTCTTTCCACTCGGGGTGCTCGTTCTCAGACGCAAACCGGAAAAGCTTCGCTCGCCTGGAGGGAGAAGGAATTTCATCAGTCTGCACGTAGAAACATTCCCTGAAACCCCCCCCCGACTGGACAGTACAGAGGTTTTGAAAGCCACACGCAATAAAACAACTCCCTTTGTAAGGGTCTCTGTTCTAATTCAACACACAGATTTAGAAACTGATAGGATGAATTAAAATTTAATAGTAAGCTATTAGAAATGATGTAATAACTACATTAAAATCCAACAGGTCCTGGACACACTTTGGGATGACAAATGCATTTGGTGTGGGCAACCTTCTAAATTCAGGGAGCTAATTAACAGGTGTTGCTATAGCCAGAGTTCTTGTATGTAACTACAACTGCTTCATCTTCCCAGCAATAGTAATTCACAAAATTTAGCAGCTTACTGCTAAGTAAAGACTCTTGTAAAATTCCAAGCCCATTGTTTGATCAACTGTTAAAGTGCCTCACCCTCTAGAGTCACTCATTTCCCTGTAACTCCAAAAGCCTACTTGCTGCTCTCCTTCAATCAGGAGTAAAGTGCAACACGTCTGCTTCAGAACGCCACTGCTGAACCCTCCCAGATGCCAGTGTGCCACAGGAGAAGCAGGAGGAGTTTGGGATGTTGGTCAAAACTGAGCCAAGATACAGCCTGATCTCTGCTAAGGAGGTCAGGACTCTGGTATAGAACAGGAGGCACCTGCTCACACTGCAGGACAGATACAGAAATGCATGGGAGAGGGACCTGTCCTGTCCCTTGATCCCAAGGTCCTTCAAGGGAAAGTGTCAAACATTGGAACAAGCAGCTCTAACAGAGGCTCTGATGCAGATCAACTCCTTTGACCAAAGCAAGTCATTCCTTCCAAGTCCAGCTGGCATTCAGTAGGTTATCCCCCAGGTTTAACTATCAGAACCACCAGCATTCACAAAAAAAGGACTCCTTTCCTCCATCCCCCCTTTGTAGGCATGAAAATTAACCTACAGAACAGCAGAACTTACACTCTTATTTCACTACCACAGTCTTTTAAAATAAAACAATTTTTTAAAAAATCTTCCCATGTGATGTTGCCCATGACAAGCAGAGAGGCCAAAGGGTCAGAGACCTCTCTTCTTCAGGCAGATCAACCTATCCTGATTTGACACTAAGCTCAATCTAGGGATAAAACTGTGTGTAAGACAAGAAAGAGGTACAGCCACAAAGACCCCAATGCTTTTGTTATTGCTTCTATTATTTAGGTACACTGTGCATCACCCTGTACCTGGGGATGCACGGCACAACACCATACACATCTCGTTTCTTTCCTCACAAGATACTTGTTTCTCACTGGGATCACACAACTTCAAGGCTCTAATAATTATTTAAGTTATTGCTTTGTTTCGTGCTAAACAATGCTAAAGACAGATCTGCACTATCAGCTCCCTTCCATTGTTCCAAACTTCAGTTTCTTGGGGCATTATTATCAGTCATCCCCCACTCAATCACTGTCATCACAGTAAACACCAACCAAATTGCATTACAGCTTCATACAGCTTTCTATAACAGTCAAGTTAAAGCCTAATAAGCACTCAGATAACAGGCAGAATTATTCCTCTTACATCTTGAAGAGTTCTTCCTCATCCTCTTCCAGAGTTTTTATTTCTTGCTCAGGAAGGGAAACTATAGGCTCGAAGTGAGGATCGTGGTTAGAATCATCTGTATTTTCAGTAGAAGTATCGTGCTCCTCGTGTGCTTCCTGAGGAGAAAGGCAACACAAACAAATAACTATGCTGGGAATCTAAGGCCTGGAGCACTTCCACCTGTATTTGAAACCTTTATGACTTTTCAGCAGTTAGATCTTAGTAACTGAAATACCCTGTAACAGTAAAGGAAAACTATTGTAGCTGAAAACAAGTGGTTTTCAAGTCAACATATGGCTAAAGAAAGAAATAAAAAGGTGCTCATGCAGTGGTAGATGTTTTAATCCTACCACTCCTGAACTGTGCAGAGGCTTGGCCTTGGAGCAATAGCTCTTGGTTATGGAAAAGTAATTTCTTCAACCATTTCTCCTATATAATGTGTTTTATGCTATTAAGGCCCTACTACTTCTTAGTGCCTAATGACCCATCACTAATGGGAAAAATAGAAAAAAATCCCCTCAGCACCAAACCAACCACCTAACCCAGCTTCAGGGACACACTGCAACCCAGGTTCAGCACTCTGTTTTATGTATTAGAATCACCCACGGCCAAAGATATTCTTGAGGCACAGCTCATGCAGTAATTTAGGGTTTTTTTGTTTTAAGACTCTTCAAGGAACTTTAGGTTATGGGTAAATGGCCAAAATACTTCTTCCTATTTAAGTTCTTTAGGAATCTGTCAGAGCACTCGTTAAGCTTAAGAACAGTTTTTACTGTGTGACTGGTAGGTAAGTGATAAACATCTCCAGGGCTTCATACCCATGGGCTGCTGAGAAGCACTGACTACACAAGCCTAGAAGGGAGATTCATATGCAAGTTTAATGAAGCCACAAAACAGCTATCTCGGGACAAGGGAACTGATTTGGGTTTGGCTTTTTTTGTTTCTGTTTCAATGATAGAGAAAGGAAAACCGGTCTCTACATTGGGGACACTTAAATCCTATTTTTACTTTACAGATGAAGGAGCCCACTCTTAGAGGCTCTATGCACAACATCCTTTACAGAGCAGGTATACACCACACTTACATACAGCAACTGAAATAAAGCAGCCTATTTTTACTAAGTAGTTAAAAAAAAAAAAAAAGAAAAAAAGGGAGGGGGGAGGGAGGAGAATGAGGTAAGAAATGGTGCAAAGTAAAATCCAGTTGTGTGAACAACGTCAAACCAGCCATCGTTAGTTTTATGTGCCCAGCGTTCCAGAATGAGGGGGGAAAAAAAACCAAGAAAGGCGTTACATCACATCTGTTTTCAAAAAACAGGAAAAGAAGCATTAGCCAAACTTTTATACATTGTCCTGTCCTGTGTGAGCAGCACTTCCCGCCTGGCAGTTCATGGTCCATCCTGAGCCCGAGCGATCGATTACAGACGGCATGAGAAAAGGCACCGTCCACAGCAAGCAGGCGGGAGAGCGCGGGTCGCGCTATCGCGACACGGCCGCGACAAGGAGCACGTGGGGGACCTGCTGCGGCACGAGGGGTCCGGCCGGGTGGGCCGGGGAGGGGCGGGAGAGGGAGAAGTTGCAGGAGGAGAAGAAAGGAGGGGGATGAGGGAGAGGGATGCCCTGAGAGCGCCCGGGGAAACGGCCGCGGCGGGGGGGGGGGGGGGGGGGGGAACGGCCACAACGCCCCGGCCCGCGCGGCCCCGGCGCGGCCCCGCGCTCCTCCCGGCCCGGCCCGGCCCGGCCCCGGCCCCCCGCCCCGGGCCCCACCTGTTCCCTCCCCTGCCGTCCCGTCCCGTCCCGTCCCCTCCGCCCGGGCCCGGCCCCGGCCCCGCCGCCCCTCACCGCGGTGTCGGCCATGGCCCCGCTGTCCGCGCTCCGCTCGCCGCTTCCTGCGCGCGCCCCGCCCGCCTTTACCTCATTCCCGCAGCCCGCGCCGCGCCCGCGAGGCACGATGGGAAACGCCGCTGCCCTCAGCCCCGCCCCGGCGCGGACACCGCGCCGCCCGCACCCGGCCCCGGCCCCGGCCCCGCCGCGCCCGCCCCTGGACAGCTCCCCGCGTCACCGGCCCCGTCAGCGATCCCCCCGTCCCCCCACAGGCGTTGTTGTTATCCCGGTCCCCCAGCGCTTTTCCCGGCGCCCCCCGCGCCATGGCGGCGCCCGCCCGCGGCGGGGAGGGGGGGGCCCCAAGATGGCGCGCGCCCGCGTGAGGGGGGAGGCGGTGTCCGAGCCTGTCCTCGCACTGTGGGGTCTGAGGGCCGCGGCCGCGCCCAGGGGCAGACATTAAAGAACATCCCGATCGCCCCCTCTGCCGCCGATCCCCTCGCAGCGGCCCGGCCGTGACGCCGCGGCCCCGCCCCGGGCGGTGCGCGGGGCTGTCTGAGGGGCGGCGGGGCATGGCGGAGGAACGCGGTCCCTGCGAGCCCGATCGCCTCACGGCGGGCGAGGCTGGAGATGGCGCCGAGCCCGAGAGCCGGGCCGGGGGAGACTCCGCGGAGAGCCCCGACGTGTACAGATACATCAAGGGAGACTTGTTCACCTCCGAGATCTACAAAGTAGAGATACAGAACCTGCCCAAGTACATCGGGTTTAACGACGTGAAGAAGTTCCTCGCCAAGTACGGGCTGAGCCCGCACAAGATCAAGCTGTTCGGGAGGCAGACGTTCGCCTTCGTGACGTTCAAGAGCGAGGAGGAGCGGGACAAGGCCGTGCGGGTGCTGCAGGGCGCGCTCTGGAAGGGCCGCGGGCTCAGCGTGCGCCTCGCCAAGCCCAAGGCGGACCCCATCGCCAAGAAGAGGAGGCAGGAGGAGGACGCGGAGCCGGGGGAGGCGAAGCGCCCGGCGCCCTCGGGGGACGAGCCCCCGAGCAAGCGGATCGCGGACGTGGTGACCCCGCTGTGGAACGTGCCCTACGAGGAGCAGCTGGCACAGAAGCTGCAGGAGTGCGAGCAAGTGCTGCAGAAGCTGACAAAGTAATTCCTGTTTGTAGTAACGCTGCTGCAGTGTGTGCAAGGCTTGGCCTTGCGATGGGATGTAGCTAAATTCACTACCTCTAAAATGCAGTGAGCTAGGGGTTGGTCAAAACTCCGATCCCCTGTCAAAGTACACAGAAGATAATCTGCAGTGGTAGGGCCTAAAAAGCCGTTCCAGTTGACAAAACTTGCTGTTCTTGGTCAGCTTCAAAAGTTCGCTAAGTGAAGGGGAATTTGTTTTAAAGTCTGTTGTTCCATAAGCAGGAGGATGTTTGTGCCCTTAAAAAAATAGCATTGTCAAAGGGTGTAAGGGATAATCCATCTGTAGAGACGGTAAATTACTATTGGGATTTTCTCTTTTAAAATCCCCTCAAAATTTTATGCCCGGTCTTTGTAGATCAGAGTATCACCTCTGTCTCTTGCCTTACCATTGTAACTACATTTAACCCTTATTTTTTCAGGTTACAGCTCTTATAAAGAGAGGGTTTGCCTGTTAAAAATTCTGGAAGAGGTGCTCTTCCATCTGATAATCTGATGCATTTTTGTGCCCTATACAAAACGTTTTGTGCAACTGTTGGCCTCAGCTTTTCTAACTGCGCGCTTTATACTTTTTGTTTCCGATTTGGGCAGGGAAATGGGAAACAACAACAGAGCTTTATTACCTTGGCTGTTTGTGCAGAAGCAGAAGTTTAATAAATTATGTTGCCCGGTGGAGGGAGTGAGAGCGTCACCATTACAGGTAAAGTGTGGGGTGGGGTTAATGAGTGAGGAGTACAGTCCTTTTTTGGTCCTATGGGACAGTGGACAAACTGAGCATTCGACTTCATCTTGTAAGAATAAATGATGAATTTTAGTTGTTGCCTTTTATGTAAATACTGTGTGGAAATATTTACAGAAAGCGGACAAACAGACACAATTAACTGGATGTTCTAACTTTCAAATGAAGATGCTAGCCCTGCAAGCCTGTGTTGTAAGCTAATGGATTCTTCAGCAGAGGCAATAGTTTGCTCTTTAGATAACAAGACTTATTAATACATTTTCTTTGTTACTCTTAGTTCACACACATCAAAATCCATGAGCATCTTCCATATGAACTAAATGTCCTGTGTCCATTTGCAAATGCATTTAACCATGTGAGATTTGTTTCAGGAGAAACTCGGCATGTACAAGTAAACGCTGTATAAATATCTTACATCGCTTTATTTTGAATCTAGACTGAATATCGCAACAAATGTGAGTTCTTGATTGGGATTGGTGTAAATCAAGAAGACAAAACTGTGGGTTGTCGTCTTGGCAAATATAAGGGTGGTACATGTGCTGTAGTGGAGCCATTTGATACTGTTCACATTCCTGCTATTGCCAAAAAAGTAGTAAAAGCTTTCCAAGACTTCATAAGGTGAGCATAAGTAAAGTGAGTTATCCCTAAAGGTTTTGATATCTTACTCAAAAATTATTTATAAAATGAAATATTGTGAAAAGCTTAGTGTTTGTTCTGAGCTTGAAGAGCTAAGATGTACCAGTCTCAGTTTGCAGTGAGTCTTTGTTTCCACCTTGTGCCTGGATCAGGGGCTCACAGGGTACTTTTCCCTTGCTCTGAGATGGGGGGACAGGTACAAGCCGAACAGTTTTATTGCAACCAGTGGGATGTGTGAGTCTGCAATAAAAAGTGTGTGTTAGTTCTGAGCTTCTTCCACTAACTGCAAAGAAGGGCTTTTAAAAGGAGGAATTTGAATAACAAAGGTCCACTGCTTCCTGGGAGGAAGAGAAGAATCATCCTACAGCAAGGAATAAAAGAAGCTGTGCATTTAAGCAACAATACTTTTTTAGAAAAATGAGTGCTTTCTTTAAAAGGAATTAAATCCTCAAAAATGGAAGCCTCAGGAGAATCATGAAGGTGGAAGGTTTGAACTCGGTATGCAGCAGAGAAGCTAATGATGTAAACAGTTGTGTCATTCTCTGAATGTGATGGGAAGCTGCCTGTTTTTAGATGGGTTAAAATGGGGGAAAGGATTTTGAGAAGTAGGCACACATTATTTTGCTTTAGGGGATGTTATCTCTTCATGTTACCTCTTTTTGTTCTTTTCTCTTAGTTGAGATGTGGAAGTCATTCCTTTCTTGACAAATCAGGGCAGCCTCTCTTTGTGCTTATCGTTTTTTCCATCACTTTGGACGGTGACCTTCTTTTGTGTCAATAAGCTGTTTAATGTCATGCAAAACAAATCCTTCAGTGTGTAAGTAACCGAGTTTCTGCTGGTTGCAGGTCAACGCCCTACTCGGTGTACAGCCCGGAGACCTACGCTGGGCACTGGAAGCAGCTCACTGTGCGCACCAGCAGGAGCGGCCACGTCATGGCCATCGCCTACTTCAACCCCCAGGTACTGCTCCCCATCCACCTGTGCAGCCACACCCGGCCTGAGGAGTACTCACACCTGAGGCTGGGGTTTGTGCATGCAAAGGGGAAAGGGAATTACCTGGTGGAGTCTGCCTTGCATTGCTACTCCAGTTCTCTTTAGACTGAGGCATGGGAGTCATTCATGTGGTTATAAACAGCACACACTACATCGTATCTTCAAGTCTCTCACGTGATGATTCTCCCTTCTTTCCAATGAAACTGCAGAAATTAAGTAAAGAAGAGCTAGCTGACCTGAAATGCTCTCTGGCACAATACTTCACAGAAGGGCTGGGACGGAGCAGTGGAGTCACCTCTCTGTACTTCGTGGAGGAGGGACAAAGGTGAGGGAGGTGACGTCTCTCTGGGGGAGGCTGCATTTTCTGTGTTTGCAGAACAGCAGGTAGCACTTGCACAGCCTTCTCTGGCTATTTCAGAGGAGCAGCATCAGTGTTACTCATTTCTGCAAGTTACTCACCTTTTCCAAGAGACTTTTGGAATTTCCCATCCTCTGGATGAAGGCAGGCAGAGTTTCAGTGGGTGAACCCAGCAGTTGTTGCTGGCTGTCAGGCTGTGGAAGTGTTTACTGCAGTAGATGGATGTTTATTATTATCAAGTAATTTCCACTTCCTTTCTTCCCCATTTATGGGATTCTTTTAATCTCCCCCTCCTCCCTCACAGAGCACAAGGCTCACACCTTCATCCCGAGACAGTGCAGGTCCCACAGCAACCAGCAGTGGAACGTTTGCACTCTGCAGGACATAAATGACCAAGAAGAGTCTCTAAGAGATAAATGTTACTGCTTAGGATGCAGCACTGCAGTTTTTGGGGGGACTAGAGCTGTGGTAAAAATTGTAACAAACATGTTTGTCTTATTTTTGTTTCTCCCCATTCTTCCCCCACCCTCAGGAAATCTCCCAATCTCGAAGACCTGCCTTTGGAGCATGTGGCTGGTGACAAGTACATATATGAAGAACTTCTTGGCCTAAAATTTAGAATTTCTCCTCATGCATTTTTTCAGGTAAGGATGATGTGAAGTTCCTGATTTCACTGGATTTGCATTAATGCCCTTGAGCTTGTCTAATGCTGTGGAACAAGATATTATATATCTAGAGATTTAATCTTTTATATTTGGTGTGATTCAGTGTGGGAGCACACTGAAGACAACTTTTTTCTTTATAGGAATCCCTTTTGTTTGCCTCCTGGTTCATGGCAGCCTTTTGGT